TGACGAGAAGGATAATGACGTGGATGCGGAGAAGGAGGAGGAGGAATAGGACCACGACCACGACGACGAAAAGCTCGACGACGACGCCGAAGGCGCATGCGGATCGGGAGCAGGAGGCCGCGCGAACACTCTGAGGAGCAGCCTGGGCCAACAAAAATTATGTTCGGGGATGCTGGACCCTGGCTGCATGTTTGTTGACACGGTGGGTGGGGCCGGCATGCCTGCCTGGTGCACACAGGCCCATCACCCCTGCCAAAAAGCAATACGGCATGCAGTTTGCGGCGGAGTCCGGATCATGCGCGGGCTCCCCGCGATCATGTTGCACTGTTCTTTGACGAGATCATGCGGGGTGCCCTGGCACGCGCGGCGCACCTCGCGGGCCTGGCTGCCGTCTGCATTGATTCCCGATGATTGTCGATGGCGGCCCGCGCCTATGCTTGGACTCGGGTGCTACTATGTTGTGGGAGGGCGGGTAGAGGTGAGCGAGACAGCCGTCCTCCGGGGGGGGAAACTTGATCACTGCTCCCCCAAAACACCCCAACACCCACACGATCGGCGACAAACCGGGGACCATACCGACTCCCCCCCCCCCCTCTTGCAGAAAATAACACAGCGTGCACTTCGCACAAACATCTGGGTCATACGCGGACGCCCCGCGCTCACATTGCATTGTTTTTGGCAAGGACGGCGGGGTGCCGTCATATTGCCTGCTGTGTGCAATGCCCCCCCCCCCCTCACCATCCATGGCAAACAGCAAAGCAGTTTGCACCAAAACCGAAATTATGCGCGGACGCCCCGCGATCACTTTGCATTTGCTTTTTGACAGGGGCGGCGGGGGTACCAGCATATTGCCTGCTGCGTGCAACGCACATCCTCCCACACCATCCCTGGCAGAAAACAACACACAGTGTCTTTGCACCAAAATCTGGATCATGCGTGGACGCCCCGCGCTCACATTGCACTGGTTTCTGACCATTGTCCTCACCATTGTCCCCACCACTACCGTCCCCACCACTGTCCCACTATCCCCACCACTGTCCCGCTGTCCCCTCACCACTGTCCCCACCACCACCGTCCCCACCACTGTCCGCACCCCCCTTCGGTTTTCGAGGGGGGGAGGGGGTTCGAACCGGTAGTGACCCCCCCCAGTTTTCCGCCAGCAGCGGTAGAACACGCTCTTTCACATATTGCCTGCTTTGTGCAGGCCACCATCCCTGTGAACAGAAAAACCCAACGTTCATTTTGCCAGGGACGGCCGGCGGAGGGTGGCGGCATACGGTGACGGCAGTGGATACAGAAACCTTCGCTAAGAAGTCCAGGGTCTGGACGCCAGTGGGGCTCCCATCGTGGACTGGCCATGGATATCACCGCCGCCCTCATGAGACAAGGAATCCCCAGGGTCTGAAGCCTCTTCGGCACATTCCTTAACGAACGCCCCCACCGTATTGCCTGCTGCCCGAAAGCCCACCAACCTTGTCAAACAAATCAACGAAGTGTGATCGTGGGTACACACCCGCACACAACACACAATGCTCGCAAAACCGTTGTCACTTCGCATTGGTTTTGACAGGGACGGTGAACGGGCCGACATATTGCCCGATGTGGCGCACCTGGTGCGCGTGGTGCACTTGGCATGCGCGGCGCACCTCGCGGGCTTCGCGCACCTGGCTGGCATCTGCATCGGTTCCCGATGTTGTCAATGGCGGCCGGTGTCCATGCTGAGCCTCGGTTGCTACTTCTGTGCTGGGAGAGCGGGTGGGAGTGAGCGAGGCGTCTTGGTGTGTGTGTGTGGGTAGCTTGGTCACTGTCCCATATTAAAGAAAACACCCCCTCCACTAGGCGACAGGCAACCAACCCGTCCCCATCAGCCCCCCCAACCATCCTGGTCAGAAATCAATGCAAAATTCACTTCGCGGCTAAATCTGGATCACGCGCGGCCACCCCGCGATCACTGTCCAGTCTGGTTTTTGACATCGACGGCGGAGGTGCTGGCATATTGCCTGCTGTGTGCAGGCCCACCAAACACCATGATGGCCACCCCGCCGTAGTTGCGCATTCCCAGTAGCTGCCCATCCAAAGACGACCGCTGAACATGCTGAGGCTCGGGTGCTTTCTGTGTTCGGAGGGCGGGTCGGAGTGAGCGAGACGGCTTGCGGGCGGGGAGGGTGTCTTGATCGTTCGTTCTTAACAAACACCCCAAGTGGCGACACCCCGGGGACACTGCCAACAGCCCCCCACCATCCCTTGCAGCAAACAATACAAGTGCGGATTGCACCAACATCGGGATCATGAGCGGACGCCCCGCGATCACTTCGCACGGTTTTTGACAGGGATGGTGGGCGGTCGACATATTGACTGCTGTGTGTAATGCCTGCGCTCCCCGACAATCCCTGGCTAAACATAAGTCGAAGTGCATATTGCACCATAATATAGATCTTGCGCGGGCGCCCCTCAATCACTTTGCACTGCTATCCTGTTACAAGGACAGGCCGGGGATGGCATATTGCCTGCTGTGTGCCATGCAAGCATCCCCCAAACATCCGTGGCGAAATACAATGCGACATGCACGCTGCACCCACATCAGGGCTATGCGCGGACGCCCCGCGATCACTTTGCATGCCTTCTGACAAGAGCGGCGGAGTGGGCCGGCATGGTGCCTGCGGTGTGCTGGCCCACAACCCCTGCCAAAACCACATGCAAAATTTTGCGAGAGCACAGGCGCAACACACAACGCTGGCAAACCCGCCGTCACTGTGCATGGTTTTTGACAGGGACGGTCGGGGGTGGACAAATCGCCGAATGTGACGAACCTGGTGCGCGTGGCACATCCGGCATGTGCGGCACACCTCGCGGGCGTCGCGCATCTGTCTGGCGTCTGCATTGGTTCCCGACGGTTGTCGATGGCGCCCCTGCCCATGCTGAGACTCGGGTGCTGCTTATATTGTGGGAGAGCGGGTGGGAGTGAGCGAGACAGCTTGGGGTGTTCCCGCTGGGAACTTGATCACTGTATCCTATCAACAAGTGGCACGCATGCCCTGGCTCTTGCACCAAGGAGCTGCGAGGGACAGGAGGCTTTCGCCTCCTTCCTCCAGGAGTTTCCTTCTGTGGCCGGGGGGGGAGAACGAACGACGAACGAACGAACGAACGACGATGACGACGACGAAAATAAAGAGGTCCGAGCTCTAGAACACAGCTGTGCAAGATAATCAAAAGGTCCGAGCTCTAGAACACAGTTATGCAAGGAGGGGAGGGCGAGGAGAGCTGGAGAGGGCTGGGTCCAGGGGTCCAGGGCAAGGCCAGGACGGCCAGGGGGCAGGACGAACGACGAACGAACGAATGATCACGAAAATAAGGAGGCCGGTGGAGGAGGACGTCCGGGGAGTGGGTTGGGGAGGCCAGGGAGGGGAGAGCGAGGAATCCTGGGGAGGGCTGGGTCCAGGGCAAGGCCAGGACGTCCAGGGGGAGGACGAACGACGAACGAGCGACGACGACGACGAAAATCTGGAGGCCGGAGATGGGGGGGAGGACGTCCAGGCAGTGGATTTAGGGAGTCCATGGGGGGAGAGCGAGGGGAGCTGGGGAGGGCTGGGTCCAGGGCAAGGCCAGGACGGTTAGGGGGGGGGGGGACGAACGATCGAACGACGACGACGAAAATAAAGAGGTCGGAGCTCTAGAACACAGCTGTGCAAGGGGGGGGAGAGCGAGGGGAGCTGGGGAGGGCTGGGTCCAGGGCAAGGCCAGGACGGCCAGAGGGGAGGACGAACGACCGAACGAACGACGACAACGACAATAAAGAGGTCCGAGCTCTAGAACACAGCGGTGCAAGATAATCAAGAGGTCCGAGCTCTAGAACACAGCTGTGCAAAAGAACCAACACTCCCTCCCCCAGGCGACGGGCAGCCAACCAGGAACAACGACACCCCACCACCAAGCCGTTCAAAAACAATACAAATACACTTTGGAGCATCAAAATCTTGGAAGATGCCCGTGGGCTCCGTGAGCACTTTGCATTGTCATTCTGGCAGGGACGGCAGCGGGGGGTATCATACTGTTTGCTGTGCGCAGGGCCACGTCCCTTTCCAAAAACAATACAACATACACTTCGCGGCTAAATCTGGATCATGCGCGGCCACCCCGCGATCACTGCCCATTCTGGTTTTTGACAAGGACGGCGGGGGTGCTGGCATATTGCCTGCTTTGAAAAGGCCCACCAGACACCATGGTGGCCTCCCCGCCGCCAGTGTGCATAGGCTTTCGACAAGGATGATAGGGGGCCGACATGTTTCCGATGAGTGCTGTCACGTGCGAGGGCGCACCTGGCACGCTTTGCGCGTGCCCCGAACCTGGCGCACCTGGTGCGGCCGGACCATGCGGCACACACACGGCGAACGCGGAGCACGTGGCGCATCTGGCGCGCCAGGCGTGCCTGGCACGCTTGGGCTCCAGGGGTGCCGGGTGCACCCGGTGCGCGTGGCGCGCCTAGCGCGCGTGGCGCACCTCGCCCCAGCGTCGTGCACATGGGGTCTGTCTTGGTTTCCAGCAGCTGCCCATCCATAGACTACCGCTGGACATGCAGAGGCCCGGGTGCTACTATGTGTCGGGAAGGCAGGGGGGAGCGAGCGATACAGCTTGCGGGCGGGGGGAGGGTGTCTTGACCCCCCACCCCCCTCGCCCTGGGTCTGGACGGGGGCGGGTGGGTCGCGAGCGGTCCGAGCGTCCAAGATGGCCTCAGCGAGAAAGCCAAAAACATTGCTGCTACGTAGGTTTGGGGGCCATTTTTGGCCTCCTCAGAGGCTCGCTCCGACGAGGCCTCCAAGTGGCCGAAGAGGCCCTACGAGGTCCCAAGATGACCCCAAGACGCTCCAAGAGGCCTCCCAAGAGCTGGCACAAGGTCCCAAGATGCCCCCAGGTATCTTCAAGAGTTCAGGGCAGCTCCGCTGGGCATCGTGTCTGCATGGACTGGTGGGGATGCGCGAAGCACTCAGGCTTTCTTGATGTGGGTGGCTATTTGGGACTGCGTTCATTGTAAGCGAGGCTGGGTGCTACTGGGCGTACCCATTCGGCGCTGGGCCGCTCTCCGCATATACGACGCCCCCTGGAAAAAGCTCACCTCGCGCACCCGCGCCACCGCCACCTCCATATGTGCGGCACGCGATTCTTACCGATGTGCTGGAGCTGACCTAGAGGAACCCTCAAACGTGGTGTGGCGTACGCGCATACTCGCAAAAATATTTGCAGCGCCCTGCCAGGAACATCGCTGGTAGCGCCAAGGCCACTCGTGGCTGGTGTTTGTGTAGCCGTGTATATATATTTTCCCGGCGCAGCCATAAGTGCTCCCTATCCACCCACCTCTCAAACTCAAGCGTGGCCCACTGCGGCCTCCGCGAATCCTTCATAGAGTTCGATTGCTTGAGTTAGCTTGCTTCGGAGCGTTTGTAAGCTCTTGTACGCAGGCAACTTCAATTTAGCAAAGCAGGTGCTTGCTGACGGCAACTGCTCCTCGGACGACCCTGTGCCAACCAATGTGAATTGAGCGATCCCTCCGTTGAAGCCTGGCAGTCTGGAGAAGCCAACTGCAGGAGGACTTGGTGAGCCAGTGCAGAATGCAAGCAGCTTGGCCCTGTCTGCGAAGGAAAACTCAGATACAACACTCCAAAACCACAATGCCAAAACATGAGATGACGACACTGCACCCTCGTATATCGTGTGTTGTTTCCAGTCTTTCACAATATCATCTGTGATCTCAACGAGCCCACCCAATGTAAGCTGGATCTCTGTGAGCGTGAACAGTCGATTCATAGCCGCCTCTATGTGCGGCGTCAGCAAAACCCCGAGACCAGCCTTGGCGGCAACGAGTTGAGGCTGGCTCTGGTCACACAACTGCGTCACCCAATACTTTGCAGCGAGGTTTATGTATTCGCCGACATTCTCTTTAGTGACAGAAACGTTGGCACCTCCAATCTTCAATTCCACTTCCTCATCGAATCCTGCTCTGCCACATGGGGCAAGGTACTCTGGCAGAGAGAACTTGCTCACGGAAAACACTAAGTGCGCTGACTCTACAGACGGGCCGTCTAGGCCTTCCAACAGACTCAGGTTTTTGAACTTCTCTGGGTCCAGCACTGCCAGTGCGTCTGCGGAGTTCATGTCGCGCCCTAACAGCTGACTCAAGACAACGCCGTTTAAATCGCTAAGCTTTTGTATCTGCTCGCCGTGCAGAAATGCCAAACCTATTACTCGACCTAGCAAAGCAAACTGCGCCAAATGGTCCGGCACAATATCACCAGAGTGCTTGTTCACAACTAGTGTGCGTCGGCCTGGGTCCTGCTCGAAGAGGCCATGGTCGGGCTCGAGCAGCCGCGCGGCGACCCTAGTTAGCCATTCCCGGCGAAGGCCATCACCTGCGGCTGCATCTGAGGCTGCATTGCGAACGGTTGTGAGAAGTGCAGGCCTCGCTGTGGTCAGCGACCCACTGTGTTCGTCTACGCCAAGGGCTTCGCAAGCACCCGAGAGCGGTGAAGACCAGTCCACTACGAGGACTAGCCCTTCATCGCCATCTGGTATCGACGCCTTCATAGCAGCCGAAAGCCACAATTGGCGAACCTGTAGCGGCAAGTACTTTCGCGACGATGTCAAAATGCGTGTCACATCGTGCCAGCAGCTTGGCATATCCTTGGTGCCCCCTTCGCGCAACGCCAACCTGTCTGGCCGCGCAATCATATCCTCGTACAGAGGGGCGAGGCCACCGATCTCCAACAAGTAGTCGAGGAATTCCTTCCTCGTTGCATAATGGGCCGCAGTGAAGCCATAACAATCTTTGACACAGAGACTGGATGCATCTCGGGCATCCTTTTGAGCAATGCCCAAAGAATTCGAGAAGCTTTGCCCACTTGAATATGTGTCGAGCTGGAGCAAGGGCGCCACGTATTGTAATATAGATTCGTGCAGAATCGGCTAATCCTCTGAGGGTCACTTGGGTGTGAGATCTTTCCCCCATCCCCTGACCCGGACTGTGTGTGTGTGTGCGTGTGCGTGTTTGCGTGTGTGTATGTGCGTGTGTGTGTGTGTGTATGTGTGTGTGCGTGCGTGTGTGTGTGTGTGTCTCTGTATGTGCGTGTGTGTGTGTGTGTGTATGTGTGTGTGTGTCTGGGATTGCGTGTGTGCGTGTGTGCGTGCGTGCGTGCGTGCGTGCGTGCGTGCGTGCGTGTGTGTGAGTGTGTGTCTGTGTGTGTGTCTGTGTGTGCGTGTGTGTGTGTGTGGGTGTGTGTGAATGTGCGTGCGTGTGTGCGTTTGTGTGTGCGTGCGTGTGTGCATGCGTGTGTCTGAATGTGTATGGGGGCCCCGTGTGCGTGTGAGTGCGCGTGTCTTTCAGCATTCGGGCGGCGGCAGCTCGGCCAATGTCCTCATCCGCGCGCTGCGCCCGCTGAGGGGGCGGACGGGGACGCCCGAGCTGGGCACGGCGGGCACGAGGGCCTCACTCCCGGTCTCTGGGCACCCACCCTTCGGGCCCCGCCGGGCGCTCTCTTGCCCCCCGACCCTCCCGCAACGAGCCCCCCAGACAGCCCCGAACTCCAAGTGGGCCTCCAGCGTGACCCGGCAGCGTCCCCGTTGGCTCCGAAGAGGTCCTGCTGGAGCGTGACCTCCTGGCCGACGGCGCGATGATCGCGGTGGACAACACGCTGTACTGCGGCCTACCCTACACGCCGGCCGAGTACGACACGCAGCCCAAGCGGAGGGGGTTCGGGGAGGACATCAAGGAGTTCAACGCGTGGCTGGCCAACCACCCCAAGCTCATGGAGGTGATGCTGCCGATCCGGGACGGCGTGACGCTGGTGCGCAAGAGTCACCGAAGAGGCCCGAAGAGGCTCACCGAAGGCCCATCGGAACAAAGATAGCATGGAAAAGCGTCACATGTTTGCATTGCTTCCGCTTGCCAGCCTCGAGGTCCCAGGATCGCCTCGAGTACAATCGATGCCTTGCCAAAAGGTAAGGAGCCTTCAATAAGGAACGAAGGGATTTGCAACAGCGACCCTCGAGCAAGCGTCGATTCCCCCGACGGTGGTCTTCGGAATGACTCAGAAATGAAAGGCCTTCCCGCAACAAAAGTGTTGTTTATGTCAGCACCTTTGATGTAAGCCGTAAACCTCCAGACGAGTTTCAGGCGGTCCCGGAAGCTCCACGGCGAGACTGCGCCTAGGCTGGCTCACGAGCCACCCAAGACAGCCCTAAGACGGCCCCAAGCAAATCCTAGACGGCGCTGAGGTGGTACAAAACCTGTCCAAGACGAGCCCAAGAGTCCCAGAGTCGCCCCCAAGGCCCTCCGAGACCGAGACTATTCAGAGACCCTTGAGGCTGCCCCAGGAGCCTTCTCGTTCTTGTTCTCCTCGTCGTCGTTCTTCTCTTCATCCTCCTCCTCCTCCTCCACCTCCTCCTCCTGTTCCTTGCCCCACCACCTCATTGCTCTCTGCTCCCTGATGTCCGCTCGCCCTGTAATTTCTCCTCCTTCTCCTCCTCAACACGTTCCTCCGCAACTGAAGGAAGGTTTACCAAATTACGGGCGGCAAACCAAATAATGCAACTTATCAAGCCCACCCGTCACGCGAGGACCACCAGGCAGGGACCAACGATCCACGAGGCCTGACCGCCCACATCACCAGAACGCGCTTCAAAGGCCCCCTCCCATGAAGCAGCCACGAGGGGCCATCCGAAAAAGCCGAACGCGCAACTCCAAGAAAGACGAGGAAAGTGTGCCAGAGCCCACGACATAATGACGCACAGCGCAACCCGAAAGGCATGATAAAAGAAAGGGTTGGCATATGTGGCGTCAGCCTGGCTATCTGGAGGCACCGCAAACGATTCGGAATCTCTGAATCGTGCAACGGCGCCAATAATTCGAGCTCGTCTGAATCAGAACAACTGCCCTGTCGCACTCCAACCGCGTGGTGTGCTGGTGTCCAAGACCGAAACCTGCAACGCGCACTGAATATATTGCAGGCGCCGCCAAACCGTGACAGTACCTCCAAGCACACATCCTTGCCCTCGTGTGCAGCGAGGTGTGCAAGGTTAAACCCATAACCGAAACCACCTCCGTCTGGCCTTGGCTCCGTCCAAACCCATTTGACCGCATCCTGCGCACAGCTCAAGACAGCTTCCAAACAAGCTGTTGATGAGTATGGGGACGTGATCGCATAGAACGCAGGACTCATTCCCCACTGATCGCACTCAACCAGGAGACTCTCAAGACCAGCTCCAACAAGCTTCATCAACGCAGCCGCAGCTTCGTGACCACCAATGTGACAAAGAACATGGGCGACGTTGCCAGATTTAAAATGGTTACGCGCATCTTTCACGTGCTCCACACTACAATCATCAACCAACAACAAAGAAGACAATCGGCGAAAATCTCCGTCAATTGGCATTTGAACTACGCCGATTTCGAAAGCAGTTCCATGTTGACGGAATTTGCATCCATCACCACCACCATAACCTCTGAAATGTGTTTGCAAAGGTTTGTCATACAAATCCTCAGGATCAGAAAAAACGTCGTAATCAACAATCATATGCCCTTCGGCTGCCTGAATGGTACGCGAACGTTTCAATGTGGGCGCAGATTGGGGATCAAAGGTCACCGTGAACGTGCGTCCAGAGCTCACTCTCAGCGTAAGTTGCAATAGTGTGTGTTCGTCGAAGCGGCATCCATCTTCGAACTTCTGCGCGCATCTAGTTTCAAGGATGGTCTTTATGTATTCTGAGCTACTCAAGTGAAGCGTGTCAACCAATAAGAAATCTCCTTCCTCAAAACCCCAAAATTTGCCGTCCAAGTCCTTTGTACTATCGCCCGTGGTATATAAAAAGAAAACGCGCGGATGAACAAACGATCTCGAACCCCAAAACTCTACACGCTGAACTGTACGTGGTTGCTGAACCCAATCGTAAAGCTCGCCCAAATGATCATCATCATCAAGATGATGGCACCCTGAGAGAAAGCCAGAATAAGCCTCTACATAGCTCTGCGCAATTGTTGCCTTCCTCCGCACTTTGCACGGGCGCTGATCCGTTGCCATCTTGTCATCGCGTGACCGTTGCAGGCGTCTGCCTTGTAACGAGCTGCAACTGAGTAAGACTTAATCTGATATCGCTGGAGCCAAGCTCCAAGCTACGGTTTTCAGTTGTCCGTATGTGCCCAACCAAAACAAGCCGCAGACAACAAACACGGATCCTTCAACCCTAGACAACACAGATAACACTTAGAACGAAGGGGTCGGGGGATGTGTCGCAAGCATATAAAATCCACGTCCTGAAGTGACGTGTTGCCGGAGGCAGGTCGCGCAGCGGAGCGGAAGCCCTAATGCAACGTATCCTATGTATCCAATGATTGCATACTTGCTTGGTATTGCATTGTGTTAAATTATTATGTCTCCCCCCTAACCCCCCCGCCCCAAGCCACGCCACATCCACCGACCCAAAGGTGGTGGACCCCTCCTGGGCTTCAACACCAACAAAAACCTACGGGAAACCGATGATTCGGGCCCCTTGGGCATCTTGGGGGCCTACGCCGACGTCAAGACGGCTCAAGATGGCCCCAAGACGGGCCAAGACGGCCCCAAGACGGCCCAAGATGGCCCCAAGATGGCCCAAGAAGCCCCCAAGACGGCCCAAGAGGGCCCCAAGAACGCCCACAAGAGTGCCTCCAGAGGCTGCAAAATATTAATGTTCCCATAGGTTTTGAACGATTTTAGCGTTCTCGCATCTTTCGGCTCTGACAAGCCCATGACGGCCCAAGCAGCCTCCAAAATGGCCCCACAAAGACTCGAGAAGCACCCAATGGGAGCCCCAAGACGCCCTCAGAGAGGGCCCCAAGACGGCCAAAAAAGGCCCCCAAGACGGTCCAAGAGGCCCCCAAGACGGCCAACGAGGACCCCAACAGAGCCCCAAGGCGGCCGCGAGGGGCCTCCAAGATGGCCTCCGAAGGGGCCAGACGGCGTAAGAGCCCCTCACGACGGCCCAAAACGTCCCCAGGAGGCCCCAAGAGGCCCCCAAAAAGCTCCAAAGAGGCCCCAAGAGGACCCCAAGAGGCTCCCAAGAGGCCCCCAAGGCTGCCACGAGGCACAAAAACGACTGAACTGTACGTGCTCTGGACGTGCACCCCGCGAAGCGACGAGGATTCTACGTCCGGACGTGACGTGCTGAGCGGCAGCGTTTTTCGGCGAACGCCTTGATGCAACGTATCCACTCTATGCAAGTATTGTATAAGTGATGCATAGTGCTACACATTGCATTTGGGGTTGCATTATGATGACTCCCCCCCCGCCCTCCCCCCGCCCCTGGCCACTCCACATCCGTCGACCGAAAGATGAAGGACCCCTCTGGTCGCCGCAACCTGAAACAACCTAAAGGAAGGTGAATGAGTTGGGCCCCTTGGGCCTGTTGGGGGTCTAAGAAGGCGTCAAAACGGCTCAAGATGGCCCCAGTACGGGCCAAGACGGTCCAAAGACATTCCAAGATGGCCCCAAGAGGGCCCCCAAAGCTCCCAAGACGGCCCAAGAGGGCCCCAAGAGCACCCCCAAGAGCGCCCCCAGATGCCAAAAACCTATATTGTCCACAGGATTCGTTGGAAGATTTTAGCGTTCTCGCCTTTTCCGACTCGCAAAGCCCATGGCGGCCCAAGCAGCCTCCAAAATGGCCCCAAGATGGCCAAGAGGGCCCCAAGACAGCCCAAGAGGGCCCCAAGACAGCCCAAAGAAGCCCCCAAGGCGGTCCAAAAGGCCCCCAAGACGGCCAAAAACAATCCCAAGATAGCCCCAGGGCGGCCGCGAGAGGCCCACAGGATGATGGTCCCCGAAGGGGCTAAACGGCGCAAGAGCGCCCCAAGACGGCCCAAGACGCCTCCAAGAGGTCCCAAGAGGCCCCAAAGAAGCCCCCAAGAGGCCCCAAGAAGCCCCCAATAGGCTTCCAAGAGGTCCCAAAGAGGCTCCCACCAGGCCCTGCAACGACTGGATTGCACGTGCTCCTGACGTGCACCCCGCGAAGCGAGAGGAGTCCACGTCGGGAGGGTGACGTGCTGAGCGGCAGCGTGTTCCGCGAAAGATAACATGCCATATATCTGGTGTGCCCAATCATACATATTAGCACGTATCACACTACATACTACTGCTTTACATTCTAATGTACCCCCCCATTCCCCCCGACGGAATCACGCCAAATCCGCAGACCCAAAGATGGAGGGGCTCAAAAACGTAAAACTAAATAGAAAAACCATGGTTGGGGCCTCTTGGGCCTCTTGGGGCCCAAGAGGGCCTCAAGAGCGCTCAAAACGGCTTCGAGATGGGCCATGGCAGCCCCAAGACAATCCAAGATGGCTCCAAGAGGGCCCAAGAAGCCCTCGCAGACGGCCCCAGAGGGCCCCCAGGGGGCCCTCAAGAGCACCTCCAGAGGCCCAACATCATGATTGCCCTTAGGGTTCTAGCAGCTGTTCGCGTTCTCGCCTTTTTCGACTCTCGGAGCCCATGGCGGCCCAAGCAGCCTCTAAGGTGGCCCCAAGGCAGCCCCAGAGGCCTTCCCAAGACGGCCCAAGAGGCCCCGAAGACGGCTCAACAGGACCCCAAGACGGCTCAAGAGGCCCCCAAGACGGCTCACGAGGCCCCCAAGAGAGCCACAAGGCGGCCCCGAGAGGCCCCCAAGACGGCCCCCGAAGGGGCCAGACGGCGCAAGAGCGCCCCAAAACGGCCCAAGCGACCCCAAGAGGCCCCAAGGGGGCCCCCAGGGGCCCCAAAGAAGCCCCCAAGAGGCCTCCAAGAAGCCCCCAAACGGCCCCAAGAAACCACAAAGCGGCCTGCGGAATTGTATACGAATGGCGCGTCGTTGATATGCCCATCGGAGTTTGAGCTTGGCGTTGCCTTGTGCTGACACGCGGTGAATGCTCATTGCCCTCCTGGACATTCGCACGCTTGTCCTGGCGCTGAAACGACAGAGCGCATCCGGCCCACGAAACCGCAAAAACACCGTTTAGGTCCAGCCCTGCCACCCAGTACCCAATCTCTCATGCGTTCCCGACGTGCACCCCGCGAAGCGAGAGGAGCCTGACATCGCTGGGGCCAAGCTGCGGTTCCTGCTTCTCCGTGCGCGCCGAATGGGAAAAAGAGCGCGCTCCCCCCCAGCCTTAGGTCGGGCGTGTCCCCCATACAGGCGGATTCTGGACGAAAAATAAAACACACCCCAAAAATATTCAAACGTACTCAAAAATAGCCAAACATCGTCCCCAGACCACCTTACACAACTATGCTTGAAAATTCTCCTGTAGAGGGACGCGCCGAACTTAATCCCAGCCTCGGGTGTTCGTGAACAGGGGTGCAGTGAACGTGGGGTGCAGAAGCATGCGCCTCTGCAAGGAAGGCCAGCTCGGCGCACGCGCCCGCGACGCGCGAGGCGCAGCTGCGTTCGCGCCCCTGGCAGGGCGACCTGCAGCCATCGTGCCGCTGCGAAGGGAAGGCGAAAGAACGCTGAGAACGAGCTTCGCGCGCGCGCGGCCACTTGCCCTTCCGGGCTCAGCGGGAATTGGTCAGACCATCCCAACAGCCTTAAACGGAACGGCCGCCGAGGGCCTTCCGTGAGCCTTCGGGAGCCCTGCGGCGGCGGCGCAAGGGGCACGGTTTGGGGCCCGCGGCGGCAGCGTGAGGACGTTCCTCCTGCAGCCCCCGATCGCCCCATGTTTAGAGGCGAGCGCGCTCCACGACTGGCAAAAAGTAACTGCTCGCAGATGGCCTGGATCCGCCGCGGGGGATCTGCGATAAACTACATCGAATAGGGGAACGAATAATGACATAAACATGACAACTCGGAGGTCCGCGCGGACCCCCGAGTTGTTATGTTTATGCCATTCTTCGTTCCCCTGTCGTAGCAGACGGGTGTTTTTTTCGGACGTTTGCGAGGAGGCACTCTGCGAGTAGCGGGACGCACTCGGTGAAGACGTTCATTGCCACACCCCCCCCGTTGCCGTCCGCGCGACAGCCACGCTCCGCCCAACCAACTGGCCCCTGGACCGACGGCTTGGCGCCATCTGGCGCAGGTGCCTCGGCGGCCCGCGTCCAGACAAGGCGACGAGGGGCCCCACGACAGTGGCCAGGAATAGTGTTTCTTTGAGAGAAAACATGCGATAGAAATATAACAACGAAGAACTGAAAACAACCAACCAAAATACCCCAGCAGAGCACCTTACTAGCAGCAGCGGCGAGTAGGAGGTCGGTGAGTGAAGACGTGCACTCCTGTGTCTTCCAAGGGGCTCGTAGGAACGCTGGCAGGCGGGACCGGGGTGAGAACACGGCGCGCGGCCGCGTGCACCGCAGAGCGCCGCAATGTCTAAATTCGCGGCAATATCGGTCGTTATGGGGGGGGAGGGAGGGGAGGGGGACGGGGGGGGGGGCAGACCCCCCCCCCCAGACTGTGGTGCTGGACGCACTGCGGCAGTGCCAGGGGCGCACTGGGGGGGAGCGTTACCTTATGCGGGGGAGGGGGGCGGAGGGGAAGGGGCATGACGCGCGTTATGGCACAACGGTTTTTTGTGTTTGATTTTTCTTAATGTAGAAATACCATATATATATATATAACTGTATAGAAACAATCTCTCGTATAATATATGTTATTGTGGATCGTGGCCGTCCAGACAAACAACGTGTGATCGGATCGGCTGCCCAACAGGGCGAACTAGGGCTCCCCGTTCCCCATGTGGAACTCTTCTGTGGTCATTTCACCACTCGTAGACCCCTCAAGCGGAGCGCTATGCGGGAATGGAGGCAAGCACCGGGGCTCGAGCTAAACCATGTTTATCGTTTTCGTTTTGTTTTCGTTTTCCTTCGTTATGTTTTCGTTACGCCCTTGCTGCGAAACGCAATCAAAACGAAAACGGCCCTCAAAATCGCCAAAACTTTGTTTAGCTCGAGCCCTGGAAAGCACCAAGACGGGCACAAGAAAACTAAGCCCCTTGTTGGCCCAACGACCGTACCAGAAGGGGCCTGAACTCAAACAACGAATCACCATGTTTGGCCCCACGTGCTCACGCCCACGTTCCCGAGGAGACCCTGGACGAACCCAGCTGCAAACTCAGGGAACCCCGAGCCATTGCCGAACCGAAAGCGGCCATTGTTCCAACGCGCCCAATGGCAGGCCCATTCAAAGAGGTCGCAAAAAGCAGCCACGGCTTAGGTCGGGCATGTCCTCCTACATGCGGAT